AGTAAAAAGAATCACAAAAAGGGCTGCCAAGTGAAATCCAAAGTTATAAGAACTAATGTCGGGCTTAGATGAACATGGAGGAGTGTTAGAGGTGTTGTTGCCGGTGTTGTTGCTGGTATTATTAGCTGCTTATGAGAGAAAATGAATAAGTAGCGTTCAACTTTTTTATTTTTTTTTTTAAATGCTCTGTATGACTTTTTACCATCTTGAGCCCAAACAGAGCCGGTAACAAATGCAAAAAAGAAAATATAACAAAAGCTTTGTGTTTTGGACATATTTTTTTTTATTTTTTTTTATTTATTTTTTTCTTGAACAAGGAGGAAGAAGGGTAAAACTATGGGAGTAAATTTCGGTACTTTTCGTAACCGCCAAGGTACACAGCATTAATATTAAGGAGTACCTTACAGGTTAATAGATTTAAGTGTATAACCATTGAGGTACTCAATGTACCGAGCCTTTCCCATTTTATTGCCAATTAAAGATATTTCGCATGTATATGATGTCAATTTTTATCGTTATGCTTTTAGTTTAACACTATTTACTAATATCTGATAACAATATTTTCTGGTTTAATTTTGATTTATCATATTCACTAATAAATAAATAAATAAATAAAATCTTTATAAGAGTCTTCAAAAAATGACCCTTAAATTTAGAAAAATTGGGTTCTGTAAGTGAACAAAAAAAATCGGGTGAACAAAAAAAAACAGGTTTTACAAGTTATTTGTTAATGGCGTCTTTTTTGTGTACTGTACAGATTTTCTGTTACGTAGATCTAAACCCTTAACAGTTAATTACAAATACGGATTTTTTATAGGCCGTATATTAAATATTAAATTAAATTTACATTTATTAGCACAAGTAACCAACGAAAGTGTATATAAATTTTTTTTAACTTGAAGCTCTACACGGTAATAGAGCTATTTTTTAAATAAGACTTTAAAATAAATTTGTAAAAATTAATTAAATAATTAATATTTAACATTTATATAATAATTGAACGATTTTTATAAACTGTTGAAAAAAATAGCTCTATTACCCTGTAGAACTAGCTGAGAGCTTCGAGTTATATGCACTTTCGTTAGATACTCGTGTAAATTTAGGTTTATAATTATTTTTATAATCATCTAGTATAAATCGTCGAAAAAACTGATTAATGATAATATCGAACCTCATATGTTACCCTGACTATGTTTGATTTAATTAGTACCCTAACGTGACGTTAAGATGATTTTATTGAAAGCGTAATAAAATTAAAATTCTTATTCGAACATTCGATCAAGCAAGTTAATTTATACACAAAAAATTTATTATCTATTCCAAAATATAACCTTTAACTAACCTTAATCTAACACATATTTCGTGTTTCCAGATTTCTGAATTCATAATCAATGAATCTCGAGCTTCCACGAAAATCACATCCGCATTTGTTACAATCGCATCTAAATTCTGCCAATTATGGTTACATCAATTTCTTATAGTAGTCTTATAGTGGTGCTGAAAATTCTTGAACTTTAATTAAAATAGTATTTTCAGAATATTTAAGCTGTTTGCACTTCCTGCAATAGGCCAATTTGAGCATGCAACTATAGCGAATATAAAAACTTGCCTTATAAAACCAATACGGGTGCACTTTAAATTCTTGAAAATGTAAATCCTGTCAGTTCACTATCTACGTATTTAGCATTAGGAGCTTGTGGATTTCTTTAAGAGTTATAGATAAAAGACTTTTGCCTATTTCTTTAATTACCAAATTGTTAAGCTATTTGGATTTGAACTCTCGGATTTTTATAAATTCGAATCTTAACTCTAGATATTTTTATCCCCAATATATTAAATAAATGAGTATATATCAGTATTTTTCTTGGGACAAACACAGGTTGAATCAATGAATATCGGGTGCATACCGGGAGATAGGTTTCCTGAAATGTACCAGATACTCTGCTATAGATCTGCAACATATGTGCAGCATATTGGGAGGTAGATCGATATCAGCAACATAACAGCAAAATATTGGAATATCCTGAAATCTTACTTTTAGGCCCAGAGTGCTAAGAGTAAGATATCAGGGTATCTTAATATTGTGCTGTTGTATCGATCTATCTCCCGATATCTTACCAATATGCTGGCGGTATATTGATTCAGCCTGTGAAATGCACGTGAGTTTGGTCAATTTGAACGTAACCATTAAATAATGGAAATCAATTAATTATTGTTTTAAGGCGGCCACATTCTCTTTAGGATGTTGAAATTAATCTATCATGCCTGTACTGTAGGTTTAATTTTTAAGGCCTAGATTTTAGATACCGCATATAAATTTTATCTAACTATAATAAAGATATAGATTGATTGATAATTTTGTGTTTATATTCATTGATATCTATTTCCTTAATTGTATTACTTGTTAATTATGTAATTATGACCCCACCAGTTATGCAATCTGTACATATATGTTGTACCCTGGATTGGAATTTTCCCGATTCAGAATCAGGACAGTCCCGGATGAGAATATTGTAATTTTTATCCAAATTATACCACAAAAAGTAAAATTTTTATATTCAAACCTAAACTTAACCCTAACCCTAAATTCCTAATTCTTTACAAAATTCTCATCTGGGGGCGGCCCGGCATTATAACATCATAGGCTCAATCACTATTAAAGTCATTAAATACATAGTTATCCGTACAGAGTTATTTAGTGGCTTACTAATCAACATTCGTTGTAAGCAACCGGCTAATACCGTTATTATATACGAATTTAATGTGTTATTTCGGGGTCCTTTCGGTTATTGGCTGTTTCACATCCACTAACTACATATTGCTTCTGGTTAGTATTCAGATAGACCAATCAGGATGCAAGATCTGGCGTAATTTTTAATATGGGCGTCGTATCACAAACATGTTTATTTTTAACATCATTTCACGGAAAAATGTTTCTCTTGTATATTACATAACCTCAACCATAATTCTAAACGAACCCTAATGACAATGACTAGAATTGCTTTGTGAAATGAGCTGCTGGAAATGTGCCTATCGGTAAGATAAACTGCCTACGATGTGAACTTGTCTGTGAAATGATTATCTGTCAATGAAGTGAGCAGAACCACGCTAAATGCTAATTAAAAAAAAAAAATAAATCGATATGATATAATATTCTAATATAATTAATTATATATACAATTTTTATATACCAATATATTTTTTAAAAAATAAAATTTTTTAAATTAAAATTTTAATTTTTATTAACAGTACTGATCACGAAAATTGGACCCTCTTCTAACTTTTTAAATTATGAAACCATCTGTAGCTTTAAACTTTTATAAATAATATAATTTATAGGGTTTCGCGATTTGATTTTATTTGATCCGATTTAATCGAATTCAAATCAGGAAATTATTTGATTTGATTATCAAATATTTTGATTTGATTATCAAATATTTTGATTTGATGTTTTGATCAAATATTTCAAATATTTGATTATTTGATTTTTATTTGAACTTAAAAATCAAATAATTCAAATATAATTCAGATTTTTAATTAAATTAGTAACGTATTTATTCCGAAATCTGTGATATATGCATAATATTTATGAATTCGTATATTTCTTTTCAAATTGCTTTGACAATGGCAACATGCAGGATTCATAGGATTCACATATCTCAACAACCAATTGATCAAATTCAATTAAATTTTAAATTTTTTTTATTTGAATTTTACAGAATTATAAAATTCGAATAAAAAAAAATTATAATTAGTTGCCAAGATATCTTCGATCAAAGTTTTGTAAACAAAGTTAACTCTGAAACCCCTATTATTTGAACTTAAAATAGTGTTTTGACCCGGGTGGGTCGGGTACCTGGGTTGAGGTAATCGCAGGTCACCCGATGGGTCAACCGTCGGGTTTCCAGATGTATCATCACCTGGGTCTTTAGATCTTTTGCACCGTTGGAAAATTCGGTTGATAAACAGTCAACGAGCACGGTTGTCGGAGTTTTTGGGAGATAGAAAATTTTATATGTGATCCGGGTGACCCGTTGGAGGTGAACCGGGTGACCTGGGTGGATAAAAGACCGTTTCTCACCCGGGTGATTCATGGCCCACCCGGGTGGCGATTTTTAGACGGGTCAAATCACTAAACTTAAAAATCAAATAAATCAAATATTTGAACTTAAAAAAGATTTCTTTATTAATAAAAGATTGCATTTGTCGCACGTTGTGGTACTATAGGTTACATATAACTATTTTTTTTTTGTTTACATTGATAACTTTTCCGTTTATCTAATAAGTTCTTTTTTTTTTTTATGTCACCGTTTTTGTGGGAACTGTTTTTGTTAACGTAATTTCCACTATTGCAGTGAAAGTTTCAGGTTTTCATCACTCCGGTCTTGCCATTTATGAATTGCACTGGTGGTGTCATGTTGTGCAGTTTAAAACGTTTATTACATGGATATATTCACAATAATTTATTCCACCTTAACGCAAATGCATCATTACGATATAGCAATAAGGATTAGAGTTAGAATTAATTTGTATATATATATAGTTAGGATTAGTTTAGTATAGGAATAATTTAGTAATTGAGTATTTTGTACGTTTTAGAGATGATGATCGGTCATTAATAGATCATGCATAGATCGATACTTGAAGGTTGTTTGATCGATCATATAATGGCTATATTGTAAGAACGTTTTCAAATCTTACTCATGATGTGATTAGCTAGTGGTCACAATAATGCATAACTACAATTATCCTGTTATATAAAATTGTCATCCGTCATGGGTGTCTTATACATTTTACCAATCAGTTTGATCATGGGACAATAAATTACCGGGAAAATCATGTTTTCAGGATATAATGAAATTCAGTTGGCTATGTAGATCAAGTCATTTAATAAAATCATTAGAACCCTATTTTTTTGCTTAACTTTGAATAGTAGTTCATAGTTATTCTTTTAACGAATATTTTTTGGTGTAAAGGACGAATTACCGTACTTTTTTCAACCAATTAGATATAAAATACCCTATTTAAAATTTTGCATCATACTGATCCGGTTTTATACTGGTATAAAAATTATTAATACGTGTATACTTTGTATTAAAAAAGAAGGCTGTTTAGTGACTTTTATAACATTCGATCCCAAGATCTTGAGCTAATCGGTCTGTCGAGCGGAACCAATACAATGTTAGAAAAGATTAATAATAAACTTATTCATAGCATTTTAGATGTGATTTTTTGCTATCAGTTGTTACGATTGTTGTACTAAAAGATCACGATA